TTTCCTTCTCTAATGTTTTTCTCTTTATTATATAAGATCTATCAATATCATACTGATCTATTCAGCATAGATCTCTTATACTAGAAAAACATTTATTATCTTCTTATTAGAAATAATTACTTATTAATAGACTGACTGTGTGATTATATCTGAGATTAGAATCAAATTTTATAGTTATTATATTATCTAAAAGTATTACTTCTGATCATAATTTATATTCATTACATTGATTTCAAATTATATTATTTCAAATATTAAAGATTTCAGATTCACTTTTCAAATAAAAATCTAGTCTTAGATAAAGAATATATTTGAATTCTTAGTCATATTTTTATTCTGATTTTATTATTGAAAATGATATTAAATAAGACTATAAAATTATTTCTCACTTATATAATATTATAATATAGTACTCATTTGTTGAAAATTAAATAGAGAGTATTATTAAATATCATTACTTTTCTAAATACAGATTATAATTAATATCATTTTAATTAAAAAAAATATAAAATACAAAAAAAAATAAAAAAATAAAAAATAAAATAATAACAAGAAAAAATCACAATAAAAAAAAAGAGAAAGAAAAAAAGAAGAGAAAGAAAAAAAATAAAAAAAATAAAAAATAAAAATAAAAAAAAATTAAGATTATAGAGCTGCAGTATCTTTAAAATACTCACTCTTCAGAGTCTTTATAATATTCATTATTAACTGTATATCTCTTATAGTAAGAGTAACACAGCTGTAATAAGTTATTATCTTAACATTATCTAATAAATAATCAGTATTGTGGCGGGCTGCGCCTGATCAATTATATAGACTATTTCATTACACTTCACAGATTTCAATCACTTCATTCTTGAATATATACACTCTGATTCTCAGTCATTCTTGATTGCTGATTCTTGACTGCTATGAATATATACACTCTGATTCTCAGTTATTCTCAATCACTGATTTATAACTACTATAAACATGTGTATATTCTTTCACCTCAAAGCTCCACCGCGTACATCATTATATACATGTATAAATATTTATCTTGATTGTCAATTCTTACACTTTTTCTTTCTTTTCTTCTCTAACATTTTTATCTTTGTTATATAAGATCTATAATATTATACTAATCTATTCAGTATAGGCCTCTTATACTATAAAAACATTCATTATCTTCTTGTTAGAAAATGATTATTCATTCATTGTCTTCTTATTAGAAAATGATTATTCATACATTATCTTCTCATTAGAAATAATTATTCATCAAGAGATATCTGAATATATAATAACATATAAGAAGTAGAGAAATAGTTAAACAGTTAAGCAGACACTGAGTTCTCAGATAGAAGCTTACTTATTAGTTACTCTGACTCTGTAACAAGATCTTATAAAGAGAGTAAGATTTTATAAGAGAATATCAGTAAAAGACTTGAGAGTTCTACACTTAGATATATAAGAATATAATTACACTTCTTCAGATTTCACAGATATCACATATTCAATGATTAATATAATCATGTCTAATAATAATATAAAACTCTTAAATATAAGTATAGATATGATATTACAGTAACTCTGAGCAATGTTAAAATTATAATAATAATAAATAGCTGATATACATGCAACTCAACAACTTCAATACAAAGAGATTTAATAATTAACTTATATAATTTCAACATTTACAGAATTAAATACAAAAGTGCTGAAAGAATACTTAAATACTTCTATATATTTCAATACTTCTGATCTCACTCTCTACTCATTATAGAGAATGAAAATGCTTGTGAAACTGAGTATAGATGAAGATTTCATCAGTTCATTAATTAATTAAGATTGATATATCAATGAATAATTGAAGAATTGTATGAAACAGAAGTTTCATTTATAAATGAAAGCATGTGAATCAGTATTGTAAACATCTTATAATATCATTAAACATCTTAATATTCTGTTTCAAGACACTGTCATACAATAGAAAGTATTAAATTAATTATAGAGTGTCTGACAGAGAAATATTTCACTTATAATATTTATCTCTGACTTCAACATCAAGATCTTAGAAGTAGATAGTCAATCTTGAAAGAATTAAATGAAGATTAGCATGTTTAAGAAGATATTAACTTTCAAACTCTTACAGACTCTTATAAGTATAAATAAAGACTTAACTTATAAAGGCTTCTGCATACAGCTCTGAACATTGAACAATCATCTTATCAAGCTCAAGAGTATACAGAACAGTAACAGAAGACATTACATCTCAGTGACTTATACATCTGCACTGAAGAATAACAATGATGCAGATGCTATGAACTGAATAGATTCAAATGTCTATATATAAGTAAGAGTTTTCATTATTTGAACAGACTTCTAAGTTTCTGAAATCACTTCTGAAGAAGTCACTGATTAATATTAATATGAAGTGTGTATTAACTGTAACTGATTAGAACACATTGCTTTCAACTACTGATCAATCTATATATCTTTATACTTGAGAGAAAGATCAGTGTCTTCTCATTCAAAGAATGAATCAGTGTCTGTTCATATCAATCATGTTACATTAGAGAAAGATTCAGAAGATAACTATGAGAATATCTCAGTGAAACAGAAAAAAGATTAGCTTCTGTTCAAATTTATAAACAGAAGCTTGAAGAGATCAGACAACAATGATTTGAAGAGAAGATAGTAATGAATATGATTCTTGTATCTACTGTAATTAATAACATATATAATATGAAAGTCATGATAGACAGTGATCTATGTCACTATGCAATAATAAAATCTTCAGTCATAAGATATTATAATCTTAAGTGTATTCTCTTATCAAAACTCTGACTTATTGCAGAATTTAATAATTCAAAAGACATTTGTATCTGTTACATAATAAAGCTGATCATAGATGTAAGAGAATATTAACATGAAGATGTCTATACATATGAAGTTGATAATCTTAATTATAATCTTATATTAGAACTTATCTGACTATCTGAACAAGATATCTTGTTAAATACTTAAAACAGAAGCTTGATATTCTCTAACAATGATAGAATTTATGAAGATGACATTCATAAGACTATGAATCTGACACAGATCTCTGTCAACATCTATAAAATGCTCAGAAAAAGAAGTCACTGAAAGAATCACTAACAGTAAAATCATATGTCAATCTATTCTATCAGTCTGATCAATATTAAAAAGGCTCTAGAAAAGTTATTCTGTGTTATAATAACAGATTCTCATACAAAACTCTCTTAATAATATTATGAATATCTAGATGTCTTTTAACAAGACAACACTATGAATATATCTCTCTTATGAGACTCAGAAGTAGATCACAGTATCAAGTTAGAAAAGAAGAATAATAAGAATCTCAAGTTATTATAAGACTCTCTTTATAACATGTCTTGAGATGAACTTCTTCTTCTTCAGAAGACACTCAATAATCTGTTGAATAAGAAATTCATACATATTAGCAACTCTTTTCACTGCAGCTTCTATTCTCTTTGCAAAGAAATCAGGTGAAGAACTTCAATTCTGTGTGAACTATCAAGAATCGAACAGATTAATCAAGAAGAACTGCTATTCTTTATCTCTTATTAATGAAACTCTAGCTCATATTGAACAAGCTTAGACTGGCCGCCGGGACCATGAATTTCATGTTTGATCTCATTTGATCTAGTCTCATACATTTCTTGGCGTGAATCCCGCTGGGACTGGCTATCAAAAAAAATGTAAAGTGACTATATATCAGATCTTAAAATGGAATCATGACTTGAAAAAAATGAGAAAGTGATCTCATTTGATTCCATTTAGTCCCATTCTTGACATAAAGTTACTATTTTTAGACATTTTAAGGTTTTTTTTAGACTATTTTTAATTTTTTAAAAAGTAACACTTTTTGATAACGCTCAAATGAGATTTAAAGTCATTTAAAGTCATAAAAATAATTTAAATTGAGAAGTGAAAATCATGATCTCATTTGAAAAATGTGACAAGAGTAGACAGTAAGTCTCACTGAAACAGTATGAAACTACTATCTAATGTTAAAACTGTGTAATGGGATCAGTCGAATTGATAATGAGACTATCAAAAAATCTGGTCCTGGTCTCAGACACGGTCACACGGTCAGTCTAAACAAGCTCAATGATTTACAAAACTAGATATTATTACTACATTTTATAAAATCTGTATCATTAAAGAAGATGAATGACTTACAGCATTCTGAATATATTATAATCTCTTTGAATGAATAGTTACACTCTTTGAACTAATCAATACTCTCAGTACATTTCAGAAGTATATTAATTAAGCACTGCAGAATTTTCTTAATGAATTTGTATCTGTATATCTTAATAACATTCTCATCTTCACTGATGAATTCAGAAAAGAATATCAAGAATACATATAAAGAGTATTATAATAATTATAAAAAGCAGAACTATCAATAGATATTAACAAGTATGACTTTGAAGTCAAGAGTATTAAATATCTAGATTTTATCATAGAAGCTGATAAGAAAATTCAAATGAATTCTAAGAAAGTCTTTATTATTCTTGAATGAGAAGCTTCATATACTGTGAAAGATGTATAAAGCTTTATCAGATTTGCTAACTTCTATCAGTGATTTATACAAAACTTCTCAGATATTACAAGATCACTTATAGAACTCATTAAGAAGAACTCAGTATTTCAGTGATCAGCAGATACTGAAGCTGCATTTATGTAGATAAAGAAGATATTCATCAACATCTCTCTGCTAATAACATTTGACTCTGACTGTGAAATAGTTATTAAAGCTGACTTCTCTGACTATGTTACAGAGAGAGCTATATTGTAATATAATAATAAAGATGTCTTATGATCATACATCTTCATATCTAAGAAATTGAGTTCTGCTGAATACAACTATGATGTAAGAGGCCTACGCCGAATAGATCGGTATAATATTATAGGTCTTATATAACAAAGATAAAAACGTTAAAGAAGGAAAGAAAGAGAAAGTGCAAGAATCAGCGATCGAGGTGGATATTTATATGTGTATGTGGTGGCGTACGCGGTGGAGCTTCGGGGCGGAAGAATATATGCGCGTTCGTAGCGGCCGAGGATCGGCGATCGAGAATGGCCGAGAATCGGAGCGTACGCTGAATCTGTGGAGTGTAACGGAATAGTCTATATGATTGATCGGGGTGGCGGCCGAGGATCGGCGATCGAGAATGGCCGAGGATCGGAGCGTACGTGGAATCTGTGGAGTGTAACGGAATAGTCTATATGATTGATCGAGGATCGGCGATCGAGAATGGCCGAGGATCGGAGCGTACGTGGAATCTGTGGAGTGTAACGGAATAGTCTATATGATTGATCGGGCGCAGCCCGCCACATATGAGATCTATGATAAGAAACTTCTTATAATTGTACACTGTCTAGAAGAATAAGACTCTGAACTTCAAAGTATCTCTGAATTTGAGATAATTACAGATCATAAGAATCTCAAGTACTTCATAACTATCTATAAACTCACTGAATGACAGATGCAATGATCTGAGTTCTTAAGCTACTTTCATTTTACAATACACTACTGTCTCAGCAGTCAGAACTCAATAACAGATACTCTCTCACAATGAGAGTAAGATATGTCTTTCAATGTAACAGATACTTACTGAATGAACTGAGAACATCAGCTTCTAGATCTGAAGATATTAGTTGATCAAGATAAAACAATATGTAGCACTATACATACTTCTCTGATTAGAACATCTTCTCTCTGAACTGTTACTGACACTGACACTGACACTGATACTGATATCTTGACTTCTTCTGAACCTACACTGAATGAATTATAACATGTAACAGCTCAAACTGATGAACTTTCCTCAGCACTCACTGAAGTAGTATGTTAAGAAGCACTCTGATTTCTCTCAGAACTATGTATAAGAACTGACATCTCAGAATACTTAATCAATGATAATAGTACTCTACAATTCTGTGAATAATACTGAGTTTCTCACTCTGAACTCTGTCACGCTCCCGGCCGCGCTAAGGCCTCGTTGCGGTTTCACACGGCCCATCACTTCCATGCGGATGATTTCATCCTGTTCAAACCGGTTTTCAATCACTCTATGACATCATTCAGATATATCATAGAAAGATCTGATTGATAAATATGAGAACCTCACTTCTATATAAGATCAGCAGATTACTCTTTCTTAACAATGAGATGCTGCTGAGGTATTGCTCTGACTATTCTCACTTATGAAATGAGAGAAGAGTATCTGCTCATTATCTATATAGAATAGCTAGATACTGACTTCTTATCAAAGAAGTCAGTGATTCATTTTTTCTTCTACTGAAATATATTCAAGAGTTACTGTATATCTTATACAATCTTCTTAGTATACTAAGTATCATATCTGTGATATTCTTACAATAACTCTGTAGTCTATGAGCTTGCTATTCAAGTAAGATAGTTAAGCTCACTTATATAACTTCTCAAATAACTATCTCTATATAACACTGCTGACTAGTCATCACTTCAGTTCTGTTATATTACAATTTAAATTACTTGATCTGATTACATGTTTAAATCAGTTGAGCTCTAACAGACTGATATAATCTCATGCACTCATACTGAGACTGATCTGACCTCACTCTCTGAGAGAAACACTACATCATTCTTTAGAGTGTGTACATCTCTACTCTGGCAGAAATCCGAGATTTCTGAACCTGCTGCATATTTTAGCATAAGCTCTTCAACTGTTCTGCCACCGCCACGGCTCCTACACACCTACATCTATCATGGAGATAGAGAGATTAAGCTTTACCTGTACTCTGAAACAGAAATTCCGCCTTAATCTGAGCCAGTATAATACTCATGAGGTATAAGTAATATACACTGTCAACCTCCTTGAAGGCATCTCTGCAACTACTTAAGTTATTAAGAAGAGAGAGCTTAAGTATATCAATACTGCAATGACTTGAGAAGAATTCAAGAACTTTCTACTAAATCAAATTGAAGATCACTGTAACTATAGCTTTATAACAGTATAGTAGTTTAACTTATTGTATTAATAAGATAATGAGAATTCTTCTGATTTCAATATAAGATTTAAAGAATATTAAGAGAAATTAACTGATAATTTAAATTAATTAAAAACACAGCTTTATCTCATGAAGCTGACTCACAAGGTATGAATAATAATATTATAATATCAGAGTTCATTAATTAATTACACTGAGCTTGTCAATCTAACTTCTCAAATCTATTTGAATAATTAATTCTCTGAGAAAAAGATTAATAAAACTTCTTCTAAATAATTAATAACAGAATCTAAACAGTGTTATAATAACTTCAGTGTAGAGAAAGTAAAGAAGAATTTCAAGTATTCTGATTCTTCACTCACTATAAAGAAATATTAAAAAAGATTTAATAAAGATCTCTGTTTTAACTGCAGAGCTGATAATTACTATATCAGTGATTATAAGAAGCTGAAGAAGAGAAGAAACTGAGAAGATATCTTCTCAAAGTTAACTTCTCTTCTGATAAATGTATTCACAGAAGATAAAGAAGAGAAAGAAATAAAGAATTAATAATTCTCATATCTCTAAGTTCATGTTATAATCACAATGTATACTCTGAATGAGAAGATATTAGTGAGATGTTTACTTAACTTCAGAATAGATACTAACTTCATATTCTATTTCTTTTCTTTGATAAAAAGTTGAAAGAAGATAGATCTGTCAGATTATATAAAATTTACTGATAAAATAAAATATCATTATTTTGATATAATTCAAGCAAAGTATGTAATCACAGACTTAGAAGAAATCTTTAAGAAGAGCAGTCTGCTTCTTTATACAGTTAATATCATAGATAAGAATATCATTCTAGATCTTCTATGATTGAGAGAAAACAATTCTCTCATTGACTGAGTCACTTAGATGTGATAATACTATCTCACTAATAAAGAGACAGTAATAGAGAAATCTGAAGAGTTTCATCAGAAGAATCTTAAGAAAAAGATTGAGTTAATATACCGTATAACAGATGATTGAGACTTGAAGATAGATAGAGAAGTCATCACTCTCACTGCAAGATTAGCAGCAGTATCTGTCATTGAAGACAGATGTATATAATGTCTCTTTACAGATTTTAAGAATATCTTTTCAGAAAGAGAAGCAGTGAAGTTTTCTGACACTAAGATATGATATAAGATTTATCTTGAAGACAGTGTAATGATGCTGTACAGATCTCTTTATAACTTATTTATAAAGAAATTGAATATTCTGTGCAAATATCTTGAAGAAGTGCAATCAAAGAACTGAATATATTCATCAAAGAGTTCAGCAAGAACATTTATACTCTTTATACTCAAGAAGAATGATAGACTATGTCTATATATAGACTACAGAGATCTCAATAAGATAACAGTTAAGAATTACTATTCATTACTATTAATTAATGAGATGATCAATCAATTATCTGAAGCAAAGATATTCTCAAAGATTGATATATAAGATATCTATCATAGAATCAGAGTTAATGAAGATGATATTTGAAAAATGACTTTTTATATCAAGTATAATAATTTTAAATATCTTGTTTTATCTTTTAATCTTTATAATGCTTCAGTCATCTTTTAAATCTATATAAATAAGACACTGCAGAGCCTTGTTAATGTCTTCTACATAGTATATCTGAATAACATTCTAATCTTCTCAAAATCAGAGAAAGAACATGATATTCATGTTTAAGAAGTATTAAGTCACTTAAGACAGTATCAACTCTATACAAATATCAAAAAATACTCATTCTACATACAGAAGATTGATTTCTTAGATTATATTATTAAGATAAACAGTATTTCAATGAACAGAAGCTGAGTCTCTGTCATTGAGAACTGATCAGTGCTGTAGATATACTATAAGATACAGATGTTTCTAGAATTTATAAATTTCTACAGACAATTCATCTATGCATATTCATGAATTACTGCTTCTCTTACAGATCTATTAAAGAGAAGTATGAAAGACAGAAAAATGAGACTGTTTATTCTCACTCAAGACATCATGTAGGTGTTTGCAGAATTGAAACAAGCTTTCACAGATATTATAATACTGAATCACTTTAACTCTGACTTATTCAGTCAGTATAAGACTGATACATTCAGAAATGAAATCTATGAAATCTTTTCACAGTTGATACTGAAGATCTTTCAATATTGAAAGAATCAGAGAATAATCATCTCTGAGAAAATAGATAATGAATTATCTATAAAAGAAGACTTTTTCACAGAGTCTATAAGATACTGTGAATAAAGATCAGTGATCTTCTTCTTCAAGAAGTTATCACTTATGTAGAGAAGATATAATACTTATAATTAGAAGATATTAATAATTATCAAATTCTTTAAGATCTGATGACATTATCTTTAGAGTAATAAGTACTCAGTGTAAGTTCTCACTGATTATATAAATCTGCATTACTTCTTAATAACAAAGAGCTTGATAGAACATTAAGTCAGATGAGTGAAGCTGCTTTCAGAGTATAATTTCTATATCTGATACTGTTCAGATTAACTTAATCTCACTGATATATTATCTAGACAGTCTGATTATAATATTATTAATACAGAGAAGAATTCTATAAAAGAATCTCTGTCATCACTGCAGAAGAAGCTGACTACAGAGAGTTAAGATTCTCTGAAGCTCAGAAACAGTGCTGAAAAGACAGCTATGTAACTCAGTATAGAAGATGAAAGAAAACTCAAGTCTCTGCAGAGAACTGACACTGAAGATTATAAGCTTCTTATATTATATCTTACAATTATTGAATTGATAAAGAATGAAACAGTCTACAATCTTTTAATCTGACTACTTTTAAAATTCATTGATAAGTTATAGAAGAGAGATGTCTCTACTGCAGCTTAAATTCAGAAGTTAAAGAAGAAAGAATCTGATTTGAACTTGAAAAAGACAGGCTCTGAGTGAGATAATACTGCTAAGAAATCAAGTCACTGATAACTAGAAGAATGTGAACTTCTACTGCTGAATAATTCAGTCTTCATCTCTTATAGTAGAACAGTGTGTCAGAAGTTATTAAGAATTCATCATAATAATTCTCATATAGAGCACTTCAGATTAGAGAAGACTGAAAAGCTTCTAAAATATAAATACATTTAAGACAAGCTTCAGATAGATGTTAAAGAGTATATTAAGACTTATAATATCTATCAAAGAATAAAGATTCTGTGATATAAGTAATACAGTGAGTTGATATCACTGTCTGTTTTAAAGAGCTCATGATAGAATCTATTGATGAATTTTATAGTTGACCTGCTGAAGTTAACAAGAGTCAAAGAATATAACTCAATTTTAATCATTGTTAACTGCTTTATAAAGATAATCAGATATATCTCTATTCATAAAAAGATTAAAGCTTCTGCATTGACTGACCTGTTTTTAGATACTATTATTTATAATTATAATTGTGGCGGGCTGCGCCCGATCAATCATATAGACTATTCCGTTACACTCGACAGATTCCACGTACGCTCCGATCCTCGGCCATTCTCGATCACCGATCCTCGGCTGCCACGAACGCGTACGCTCTGATTCTCGGCCATTCTCAATCGCCGATCCTCGGCCACTACGAACGCGCGTATATTCTTCCACCCCGAAGCTTCATCACATACACATATAAATATCCACCTCAATCACTGATTCTCACACTTTCTCTTTTCTTTCTTCTTTAACATTTTTATCTTTGTTATATAAGACCTATAATATTATACTGATCTATTCAGCATAGACCTCTTACACTATAAAAATGTTCATTGTCTTCTCATCAGAAATGATTATTTATCAAGAGATATTTAAATGCATAACAACATGTAAGAAATAGAGAAACAGTTAAACAGTTAAACAGACACTGAGTTCTTAAATAGTTCTCAGATAGAAGCTTGCTTATCAGTCACCCTGACACTGTAACAAGATCTTATAAAGAGAATAAGATCTTATAAGAGAATATCAGTAAAAGACCTGAGAGTTCTGACACTCAGATATATGAGAATACAATTAC